GTGTGTGTGTGTGTGAGAGAGAGAGATAAAAAAAAATTTATGTCTCTCTCACTCTTTTTTTTTTATATATATATATATATATATATATATATATATATATATATATATATATATATATATATATGTGCGAATGAAAAATGAGCATACAGTGCAGTACACACTATTTGCTTTATAATTCACCCTCTCTCACACTTACACATTCATTTAATTTCATTTTCTTGTGGCCTTATTTATCAGGGGTCGCCACAGCAGAATAAACCACCAACTATTCCAGAATATGTTTTACGCTGTGGATGCACTTCCACTTCCATTCTCACCCATTACTGGGAAACACCCATACACACTTACATTCACACATATACTATGACAAATTTAGTTTAATCAATTCACCTATAGCGCGTGTCTTCGGATTATGTGGGAAACCGGACCAACCGCAGGAAAACCATGCAAACACTTAATAATAATAATAATGATAATAATAATAATAATAATAATAATAGTAATGATGATAATAATAATAATAATAATAATAGTACCAAAAAAGTGAGCTGGCTATAGATGTAGGATGTGGAAGAGCATGATTTGAGCCACAAAAAAGAAGAAGAAAAAGAAGAAGAAATGTGGCAGCTGCTGCAGAGTAAATACAGTAAACGTCTCTGACCTGCGAAGGCAAGGATTGAAGGGAAAGTTGCTGGGCTCGTCTCATTGTTTGCGGCTCTGAATGCGACTCTACCATTCAATGCACCCGCCGCGCAAGTTTAACATATGAATGGGAAACTTTTATGCCCTGTGAAGACCATACGCTTGCTGATAAAATGGCTGACAAAGCTCATCCCATAGTCGAAACGACAGATACCACACTGCTTTCCAAAAAAAAAAAAATAAATGCCCACCGTGGTGGATGATTTGAATGCCTATTGTGATTTTCTTTTCGAGATCCCTCACTCAGGAACACACTCTCTGCTTTTTATTTAAACAGAATGGAAATTAATGTTAATGTTTTTTTAAAATGAAGGGAAAGAAGAGGTAAAATAGACAAAAAAAATGATAATAAATAGACCTTTCTCCCAATTTAAGATACATTCATTTGAGCGAAACGGTGAATGGCTGCTGGCCCCTGTGATAGAAACCAAAGTCTTCCTACAAACCTGCAAGAGAGAAACAGAGGGAGGGAAAGAAAATGACACACAAATGCGCCCTACGAAAAGAACAGATTTGGATCGACGGCTGGTGGGGGAAAAGGGAGGAAGGCAAACCTTTTCACCAGGTCCTTGAAATACAAGCTGCAGGAAGCTAGAACATTTTGGTGGACTTCAAACTCTTTGCCTTCAACTATAATTTTCAGGTCTGTAAACTCTTTCTCTCTGCGCTGCTGGTTCAACTCCTTCAACATCTCTGTAGAACAAAGAAGAAACAGACAATGCCAAGCACGGGTTTAGAAATCGGATTTTTCGTTTTTCGTTTTCTTTTGGAAAAACAAAAGCAGACAGTGGCAAAAATAAATCAGCAGATTGAATCAACATATGCAATGCATTATGGACACGTTAGAAGCAAAGTAAACATGCACATTAGACATTATTAATGCTCAGACACTTGAATATTTCACAGTCGATAAGAGACGATGAGCGGAAAATATATCCATTACATCATATCCAACACAGACTACATGTTGATCATATGACTAGTAACATGTGCACGTGGCTTGATGCCATATTGATCGTTTTTTAACATTGCATTCGGGAACAGAAGACATTATATAGCTAATGGTGATTATTGAGTGTATAACAACCATAAAATACTGTTCTGTATTTGTTACATGTTCACACCATATCATTTTGACATAAAAACAAATGCTAAAAAATCATTTTAAATACTGCCCTTCGGTATTTCTGTTCAGTTCACAAACACTGGATGCCAAGAGTTCAAGCTTCAGAGTAAAAAAGAAAAATAAATCATTATATTTTTGGCCAAAAGCAAGGGAAAAATTTTTTTACGAAAGAGAGGGAAACCACATCAGATGCGTTTTAAAATAAATAAATTATTGTGTGTTAAAAATAATGTTCTGTATTTTTTCTGTTTTCCAACAGACCGTCTCATTTCAATAGAAAAGCAAATGTTATAAAAGCATTTCAAATACTGCCGTTCTTTATTTCTGTTCAGTTCACAAACACTTGATGCCAAGAGTTCAAGCTTTGGAGCAAAAATAATAATAATAATAATAAAATCATTATATTTATGTCCAAAAACAAGTGAAATATCTTTTAAACAAACAAAGTAAGGCAAAAAAGAGAGAAAAAACTACATCAGATGCGTTTTAAAATAAATAAATTATTATGTGTTGATGAAATGTTCTATACTTGTTACATGTTTTGTTATCCAACAGACCGCCTCTTTCGATAGAAAAACAAATGTCAAAAAATGATTTCAAGTACTACTAATCGGTAATTCTGTTCAGTTCACAAAAACTGGATGCCAACAGTTCAAGCTTCAGAGAAAAATAAATTATTATATTTTTGGCAAAAATCAAGCAACATATCTTCTAAACAAACATAAAGCAGAAAGCGAGAGAAACCACATCAGATGCTTTTCTTAAAAAATATGTTCAATTCACAAACATCTTCACCAATACATTACATCCCAATGTTTTGATCTTCGCTACTGAAAATAAGAATAAAACGTATTACGCTAGTAGCACTGATAAGAAATTTATAGAGATTCAGGTTAAATATGCAACCCAGACTTCATCTTGAACGTGTGACCTATTTGAGTCATATCAGTGTGCAAAATAGGTCATTATAATAATAAAAATACATATAAAAATACATATATGTATGCATGTATATCGATATATAATTTTATTCAACAGCCCACATGTATATTTTTTAGTACTGCTTTTATACTTTTAGGCAAAACATATTTTAAACAAACAGAAACACAAATATATATATTTATGAAATATAAATATATATATATATATGTTGTTTGTTTGTTTTTCGGCACCAATAAAAGCAGTTTTTAATTATTTGTTTTATTTCGGCTACAATAAAAGCAGTTTTTAATTTAAAATATATATATTTTAATGTCAATATTATTAGCCCCTTTAAGCTATGATTTTTTCAATGATCTACAGAATAAACTATTGTTATACAATAACTTGCCTATATACCCTACCCTGCCTAGTTAACGTAATGAACCTAGTTAAGTCATTAAATGTAACTTTAGGCTGTATAGAAGTGTCTTGAAAAAGTAAAATAGTATGTACTGTCATCAAGGCAAAGATAAAATAAATCATTAAATCATTAAAATTATTAGAAATGATTTAAATAAATACATTAATATATATGCACTTGCACAAAGATGGAATATTTTAGGAGACAAATATTTAAAATACACATTATTTCAGTGTTCATATCAAATTATAATTTGACATGCAAAAAAAGTATGACTCTTGTCCTAAATATCCCTGATTTTTGTTTTTTGAATTATTATTTGGTTTTAATAATACAGTCATATTAACAACCAAAACATTGGATGATACAATAAACAAGGAAATAAATAAATTTAAATAAAATAAAACAAAGAATACTAGTAATAAAATAATAGTAAAAAAACAGGGTACGGAGGCAAACTTATCAAAATTTTAATACATTTACAAAGTCTTTATAAAATTTCACTGTTCACCCTTTTTTTTTTTTTACTATAAACATTTTGTTATGTAGTAATCAAACAATTTAAGTCACAAAGTAAATTCTGCAAATTGGGTAATGATGAAGAAAATGTACATATGTGAATATAATATTTACCCATTAAAATACATAAATTAGATTTTTGGTAAATAATAATCTGACTGCTACACTGAATGACATTTGATGACTTTTTGATGTCTTTTCTAAAGACAAATTAAGATAAACAATTGTTTTGCTCAGAAACAAAATACCACAGCTTAATCTAGTAAAAATTAAAGAGTACTACAGTATTTATTACAGTTTATCAGTTCACTATAGTTAATGATACAGTATAGCATTCAACAAAGTGTTCCGAATATTATACAGCACAATACACTTTAATGTGATCTGGCTCAAAAACACCATAGTATGTACATGTACTAGAATGTATTTTTTGTGTGAGAATATCTGAAAGTTTGATGTGTACGTCTAACAGGATAAATGAAATCTAAAGCTTTAATACACTTTTAATCCTTTTGGGTCTTCAATGTTTATGGAAATATAGCCCTATCTCAGCATTAAATGAATATTCCACCAGATCTCGCCATCTATTTAACATGTTTATCAGAATTATGAGAACGTTCACACACAATCAAGTCTGAACGTGGAGAAAACAAGCAGCAGCTGCGATCGTGTATGTGAATGTATGTAAATAAATGAGGCATCTGACAGATCCTAAAGCCCAAGGAGACGAGCAGCGAGAGCCAGCCCCGTTTAATGAGGATCTATAAAGTGATTCTGACAACCGGACCTCGCAAAGTAACCTTAACAGACAGACGGAGAAAGATCAACAACTTCAGGCAGTCGAACACAGCAGACAAATCACAGCAACAACAACAACAACGGAGGCAGCCATCTTGTCTGTTTAGCAAACGCGCTTTTGAAAAACCAGCATTAGCTCAACCGTGCTAACAGCTAAAACATATTTAGACTAGAATTTACTACAGTATTTTTTATTTGGGTACATCTGATGGTGTGATGTGTTTGTCTAATAGGATAAACTAAATCTAAAGCTATTACACTTTTACTCGTTTAGGGTCTTCAATCCATCTATTGAAATACAAAACATCTGGTAAACAAAGAGAAAAGACATAAAAAAAAGTGCATATTTTTTTATTACAAAAACACTTGTGCATAAAATATATGGGATATCCTAGGAGTTAAATACATAAAATACTTTTTTTTCAGTGTTTAAATCAAATTGCAATTGACAAAATATGACTCTTGTCCTAAATATCCATGATTTTTGGTAAATAAACCAAATTGTTACACTAAATTACATGTTTGGGGGCTTTTTCTATTAAATAAATTAAGTTTAAAATACTACTATTACTAAAATATTACTATTATTATTATTATTATTATTTTGCTCAGAAACAAAAAAAAAACACAGCTTACTGTAGCAAAAATTAAAGTATATTACAGACGGAAAAAGATCAACAGCTTCAGACAACCGAACACAGCAGACAAATCACAGCAGCAGCAACAACAATGGCGGCCCTCTTGTCTCTTTAGTAAACACGCTTTTGAAAAACTAGTATTAGCTGGACCACTCTAACAGTTAAAACATGTTCTAGCGATTAAAACCCTCTGTATTACCAATATTACACAACTATTTCCATGTTAAATACGTGTTAAATATTCACCATCAGCTATTTTATGTTTTATTTTTTGCCTCAGCAATGTTAGCCTTGATGGTAATGTACAGTAAGAGTGTATTTTAGCAGTCTAATGGTCCAAATTTATATATATATATATATATATATATATATATATATATATATATATATATATATATATATATATATATATATATATATATATATATATATATATATATATATATATATATATATATATATATATATATATATATATATATATATATATATATATATATATATATATATATA